GAAAGGTTAGAAGAACTGGGTTCGAGCAACACGTAACCGGCCTGAACAAAATACATACACGAGTAATGAATATAACAACCCGGAAGAATTTAACGAGACTCCGAATACGAACGATTTAATCACAGTAATACGGTTAGGTACCTCACAACAAGAGAGTTCCGAAAATCCACGACAATTTCACAATCATTATCCGACAACACAATGATTATGCGAGTCGAAAACAACAATTAAACTAGCACTGTATAATCAACAGGTTATCAAAACTACGAAGGGATAGTCGAGGAAGGTTAGAAATAAATTACCCGTCTTCAGGAATTTGTGAGAATTCAGAAAACAGACGAAACGGTCGAGAGCCTCAAAGCTCGAGACCTTTGGAAGCGACATAGCTCATGAACAGTTGCTGCTCTGGAATCGACGATGACGGTCAATCACTGCGGAGGACGTCGGCGACGGCAGGACGCTGCTTGGTGCTCGCTGGAAAAGGGGTCGCAACGGGACAGCGACTGTGGCTCACAAACGGACGCCGAGAGTAGATACTGCAACGGAGCACGGTGGTAATCGCCGGCAACAATGGCGAGGAGGCTTATTGGCAGACTATGCAGGTACAAAATCAATTTTTTAATTGCGAGAGAATTGAGAGATTGAGAGTACTGATCGAGGTTCTCACCGGTTTAAGTAAAGGGTGAGGACGTTCAGATTGAAGGGGTGAAGGGACGATTATCGCGTGATCGTGCCAAGAGAATCTCCCACAAAATCGCTACCTGAAATTGTGCGACGACCTGGTCGAAGAGGCGAGCAGATGAGGAGATAATTCGCTGGAATGGAAGCTCGACATCTCATGGGCTAAAATAAATTATCTTCTAATTGGGCTAAGGTATAAACATCTTAATTTGGGCCAAAAATCAATAAAGAGATGGACTATGAAATTAATTACATTGGCGGGAAAAGAATGGCAAAAAGGCCGATGAATTAAGTCGCTTCGGGCCAAAATAAAATATACGCAATATAAGAATTATCGAGATGCTCGATCGACTGCGAGTAATAAATTAATCCGGATTATATTTATTTATAATACACATCATATTTTAAAATAATAATAATAATAGTAGTAAAAATATGCATTTAGACAAATAATTACAATTTGACAAATAATAATATTTAGACAATTAATATTAATAATAGCGATATAACTAATAACAAATAAATAATAGCAATTTGACAGTTAATGGCCATTATAATTATAATAATTATAATAATAATAATAATAATAATAATAATAATAATAATAATAATAATAATAATAAAGACAATTTAATAATAGTAATAATTAATAATTATTCTCCAATAATCCAAAATGAAACGGGGTATTACAGTCTATCCACCTTACAAAGAATTTCGTCCTCGGAATTCGAAAATAAACTAGAAAGCAATAAAAATACAAAGGGGACTCAAAACTCAAAGTTCGGATATCGCCTCCGAAGCTCGGCCTCCTTTTCCCAAGTCGCCTCTGACTCGTCATGTCGGCTCCAAAGCACCTTCACCAAGCTTACTGCCCGGTTCCTCACCTGATGGACCTTCTGGTCCAAGATAGCTACCGGTACCTCCTCGTAGGTAAGGTCTCGCTCGACCTTCAGTTCGCCGAAGTCCACCACGTGACCGGGATCATGCACGTATCTCCGCAACATCAAGACGTGAAACACGTCGTGCACTCCCGACAAGCTAGGTGGTAAAGCCAGCTGATAAGCCAAGTTCCCGACTCGGGCAAGGATCCCGAAGGCCCAATATAACGCGGTTTAAGCTTCCCCTTCTTCCCGAAGCGAATCACACCCTTCATAGGCGAGACCTTCAGGAAAACGTGATCTCCGACAGCATACTCGTGCTCATCCCTCTTTCGGTCGACATAGACTTTCTACCTCTCTTGGGCTGACCGGATATGCTTTGGGATAGCCTCGACTGTCTCTGCAGCTCTAAGAATGAACTCCGGACCCATGATCTTCCTCTCTCCGACCTCATCCCAGTACAAGGGTGTTCGGACCTTACGTCCATACAAAGCCTCGAATGGGACCATCTTGATCATGGAGTGGTAGCTATTGTTGTAAGTCAGCTCGACCAAAGGTAAGGTACTCTCCCAGGTTAGGCTACGGTCCAATACCACAGCCCTCAATATGTCCTCCAAGTACTGGATTGCCCGCTCCGACTGGCCATCTGTCTGAGGATGAAAAGCTGTACTGAACTCCAGCCTCGTCCCCATGGCTCGGAGCAAGGTCTTCCAGAACTGGAAAGTGAACTCTGCGTCTCGGTCAGACACGATCTCTACGGGAACTCCATGAAGCTTGACAATCTCATCCACGAACAACTCGGCATACTGACTAGCCTTCATAGTCGTCCGGACTGGCAGAAAGTGGGCAGACTTTGTAAGGCGATCCACAATCACCCAAATAGAGTCATGCCCGATCCTCGACCTCGGCAATCCCACCAAAAAATCCATGGTGATGCACTCCCACTTCCAGAAGGGAACCTCAAGTGGCAGAACCTTCCCTATCGGTTTTTGATGCTCAGCCTTCACTTGCTGACACACCAGACAACCATTCACGAACCTTGCCACTTGCCTCTTCATACCTTGCCACCAGAAAGACTTCCTCAAGTCCTGATACATTTTCGAACTACCAAGATGGACGGTGTACGGGGCACTATGGGCCTCTCTCAAAATCTCCCTTTGCAATTCCCACACCTTCGGAACACAAAGTCTACCCTCGAAGACCAAGGCCCCATCAGATGCGACTTCGAATACTACAACTTTACCGACTCCCGACAACTCCTTCGTCCGGCAGAGGAAATGATCATTCAGTTGCTCGGCGACTATCCTCTCACGAAGAGTCAGTCCCACAACCAAAGAGTTCAACATACCTCTGGCTGTCAAAGGTGACTCCACTGCCTCTAGCTGTAGCCACTCGAACTCTCGAAGAAGGACATCTTGCGCGGTAAAGATACAAGACAACTGGCCATAACTCCTCCGACTAAGGGCATCGGCTACCACGTTAGCTTTCCCCGGGTGGTAGCTAATCGTGCAATCGTAGTCCTTGACCAGTTCCAACCACCTACTTTGTCGCATATTCAGCTTCTTCTGAGTGAAAATGTACTTTAGGCTCTTGTGGTCGGTAAAAATCTCACACTTGCCTCTATAGAGGTAGTGTCGCCAAATCTTCAAGGCGTGAACGACTGCAGCTAACTCAAGATCGTGAGTGGGGTAGTTTTGCTCGTGAGGCTTCAGCTGCCTCGAAGCATATGCTACGACCCTCCCCTGCTGCATAAGGACACATCCCAAACCCATCTTCGAAGCATCACTATAGATGGTGAACTCCAAAGTAGGGTCGGGAATGGATAGAACGGGCGCGGTAGTGAGTCTCCTCTTCAACTCCTGGAAACTCTCTTCACACCTAGGACTCCAATCGAACCTCACAGTCTTATTCGTAAGGTTGGTTAGTGGCTGGGCTATCTTCGAGAAGCCCTCGATAAACCTTCGGTAGTATCCTGCTAACCCCAGAAAACTACGAACATCAGCGGCACTTCTTGGCGTATCCCATTTGCTCACTTCCTCAATCTTGCTGGTATCCACCTCAATGCCTCTCGTTGTCACAATGTGGCCAAGGAATGCCACACGATCCAGCCAAAACTCGCACTTCGAGAACTTAGCATAAAACTTCTCGCGACGAAGAGTCTCCAGCACAATCCTCAGATGCTCCTTGTGCTGATCGATGTCTCGAGAGTAAACCAGGATGTCGTCGATAAACACAATGACAAACTGGTCCATGAAAGGATGAAAGACCCTATTCATAAGGTCCATAAAAACAGCCGGGGCATTGTTAAGTCCGAACGGCATGACTACGAACTCATAGTGGCCATAACGGGTACGGAAGGCAGTCTTAGAAATATCCGACTCCCGGATCTTCAGCTGATGATAGCCAGAACGCAAGTCGATCTTAGAAAATACACTGGCTCCTCTCAACTGGTCGAAGAGATCCCCAATGCGAGGAAGGGGGTACTTGTTCTTGACTGTAAGGGCATTCAACTCCCGATAGTCAATACACATGCGCATCGATCTGTCTTTTTTCTTCACGGATAGGACAGGCGCTCCCCACGGCGAAACACTCGGACGAATAAAACCAAGATTAAGCAACTCCTGGATCTGAGCCTTGAGCTCTTGAAGCTCCTTCGGCACCATACGATAAGGGGCCTTAGAAACAGGGCCGGCTCCTGGTACTAGATCAATGGTAAACTCCACTTGGCGGTCGGGTGGTCCTCCGTGCAATTCATCAGGAAAGACATCGAGATACTCGCAGACGATAGAGACTCTCTCCGGGAACCTCTCAGAACTGTCCTCGGATACCATAGAAACCAGATAGCTTTGACAGCTACCCTTAGAAAGGCTCTTCCTAGCTTGCATATAAGAGATGACTCGAGGCACAGTCCTCGACTTCACCCCATAGAAAATAACAGGCTGATCGGAAACGGGGAAGAGACTGACTTCGCGCTCCTGGCACTGGATATCGGCTCGATAACGAGTGAGCCAGTCCATGCCCAAGATCACATCGAAGTCCCGCATTTCAATAACATAGCAATCGGCCTCCGACACACGCCCACCAATACTGACTCGAAGACTAGAAATCATAAAATCGGAAATAATAATCTTTCTCGAGGCTAGACTAACCTCGAGAGGGTCACAGTTGCACACATTATCAATAGACAGCGCATCCAAGCATCGAGAGGAGATAAAGGAATGAGTAGCTCCAGTGTCACATAACGCAAAGATAGGCACATTGGATAAAGAAATCATGCCAGACATGGTACCTGCGTTGTTGGCTGCCTCGTCGTGAGCAAGGGTGTAGACTCGGGCCTGACCCCCAGCCCTCTGTTGGTGTGGTGGGGGCTGCATGTGCTACTGCTGCTGCTGGTAAGGTGGAGGAGTAAGCTGCTGCTGCTGCTGCTGCTGGGCCTGCTACCTCAGGGGCTCGGGGCAAGCACTGAAGAAATGACCGGGCTTCATGCAGTTGAAGCAAACTCGCAGGGTGTACCGGCACTCTCCCGGATGATAATGACCATAGTTGCGGCACCTCGAAAACTGGTCTCGTGTGAAGGGGCGCTCACCACGATGGTCGTTCCCACCGCGCTTTTCCTTCCAGTTATCCCGACGGGAATCAAACTTTCTCTTGCCCGAACTAGAGCCGGGCGGTGCGGAGGAAATAGGCTGAACTAGATGAGCGGAAGGGACAGAAACATTGAGAGTCTGATAACTCTCAAGCTGGGTGGCTCGAATAACGGTCTCATCAAAGGAAAGATTCGCCTGGCTAGCAACATGCATACGGAGGGTTTGGCTCAGACCATCCCAGAACTTGTGGGCCTTCTTCAGATCAGTGTCCACCATATGTGGAGCAAAGGCTCTCATGCGGGTGAACTCCCTCTCGTACTCCTCAACAGTACCAGTCCCTTGAGTAAGATCCCAGAAAGCGCACTCCATCCTCATGCGATAACCCTGAGGATAATACTTCTCCATGATCACCTCCTTCATGCGATCCCAAGTCAGGACATTAAACTCCACCTGCCTCAACCTCCAATAGCCAGAACACCATAAGGCGGCACTTCCCTTAAGAATATAATGGCCACAAATAACCTTCTGCTCGTCAGAGCACTGCAGGATGTCAAAGTTCTGCTCTAACTGACGGATCCACTCTGCCACAGCCTCGGGCCCTTCAGTCCCATGAAATTCTGGCGGAGTTAGACTCCGGAACTGGAGCACGATTTTGAGATGAGCCCCAGCCGGATTGGGAGCCTGATGGTGAGGTGGAGATGGGAATGGAGACGGAGGTGGAGACGGAGTAGGCTGACGGTTGCGAGCATTACGACAAGCCATAGTTCTACATTGAAAATGGGTCGTACAGTTTAGCACAATAATAAAAAAAGTCTAGAGTTCAACACTAGAGTTTGAATTTAAAGGTGGATTAGTCCTAACCCCGATTTCATTCCAATAATCAATAATCAACCAATATACAGTAATCTCAAAGTCATTCAGGTACTCATACCTGAGTTGGCGCGGAACGACGAGAGCGAGTGGTCTTAACATGAATTCGGAACACATAATCACATAATCAACTTTTTATACTTAAACCAGTCTACAGAAACGGAAACTGGCTCTGATACCAAACTGTAACGCCCCACTTTTATTTACCGAAAATCAGAATAAATTTTTCGAAATTTATATTCAAAAACACTTGAGGCGCTACTTATTTTCAAAACAATAGTCAATGTTCAACATTTTCTCAAAATTCGACAATTATCAATACTCATAATCAATATGAAAGTCCCAATCATCAATCAATGATTCAATAATGATCCTAGGAATATAATCCTTATCAATAATCCAATACTCCAACAATAGTCGATAATAATGCAATAATATCCAAGTTCAGTTCAAAGCGGAAGCATTTATTTAAATTAAAGACCACCACTCGCATCCCCTCCGCCGTGCTGCTCTATCTAACTTGCATCCATGAAGAGCAGGTGGGGATGAGTACAAAGGAAACAGTAGTGCTCACCGCTATGCCATAAGTGTTAATGTCAATAATCAACAGTAATCACTAATCAAAAGGTATGGTCTCAGCATGTATACGAAACAATAATCTATCACATTCTCCCATCAATAATACAATAATCAGACTCATGTGCACACCTACGCATAGACTACTACTGACTATATATCGAATGCCCTCCGGTCCTACATCGAGTGCCAACCAGTAGGATTAAACCACCCCACCGGCCAAGGTCTTGCCTTGGACTTACCAATGAGAATCACTGGCCGAGGGACCTAAGCCCTGGTCTTACGACTTCTCAAGGGAGACTACTCGAAGGTACGTTCTATAGCTACGGGGACAACCGTCTGGTGGCCGATACAGCTCACATCGAAGGCTACATAATTCACATGCATACTTTGATCATACCACAATAAAAACAATTAATTAAGGCATAGTAGATTTTAAAATTACAACCCACCTGGAAATTTTGGTAGAAAATGGCACACAAAAGCAAGCACGTAGGATGAGGCTTGACTCCTCAAACACCTACATTTAAGCGAGATAATTTATCAATAATTTATCTCACTACTCGAATTTAACATAAAACCCATACTTAATAAAAATTAAGATTTACGGGTTTTAATCGGATTTTTCGTGGACTTGGAACTCTCTCATTTCTGAAAAATCTGACTCGGAGAAGGAAAATGGGGTCTCGGAACTTAAAATAATTTTTCTCAAAATTTTTCTCATTTTTAAAATATTTTTAAAATTTAAATCGGTATTTCAAAGGGGCTCCGAAACTCAAAATAGGCTAAGAATGGCAATTGGGTCGAGCTGTTATCATGCTTGCCCAAAATTGCCAAACTGTTGGGCCTTATGCGCATGATGGGCCGAATATATACCCAATTTGGGCTGGGAAACAAGGCCTGATAACCAGGCTTCAATTTGCGGGCCGAAGGCTGGGCTTGGACCGGGTCTGCAGGCTGCTGATGAAGGGCTGCGGGTTGCGCGCGGGCTGGTATCGGGCCAGATGGCCCGCGCGCTGGGCTGGCTTATTAAAAAAAAAAAAGAAAGCCACATTTCGCAAGCACTGGGGATAGAACACGCGACCTCGCGTACAGAAAAACACGCATAACCGCTGCGCTACACGAGCTGAATGCAACTTAATTTGCAGTCTTTACAAAATGAATTTTTAGACAGAACTTCTAAAACTGAAACAAAAGCTGTGAATTTGAAAGGCCTACCAGCTGGTTGAACAAAACTTTATGCTACACTTTTCAGCAGCTAATTGCACAGAAATTTTTCAAAATAAAATAGGAAACAACACCTAACGGTTCGCAAATAACCGAACGACATAACGACTACGACACGGCTCCAATCAATAAAACGGGGCTCTAAAATTAAACGGATTTGCCAAAACAATAGTTTCAAGACATTGTAAAATTTTTATAACTCATACATATTCAGAGTTTCGAAAGGTTAGAAGAATTGGGTTCGAGCAACACGTAACCGGCCTGAACAAAATACATACACGAGTAATGAATATAACAACCCGTAAGAATTTAATGAGACTCCGAATACGAACGATTTAATCACAGTAATACGGTTAGGTACCTCACAGCAAGAGAGTTTCGAAAATCCACGACAATTTCACAATCATTATCCGACGAACACAACGATTATGCGAGTCGAAAACAACAATTAAACTAGCACTGTATAATCAACAGGTTATCAAAAATATGCAGGGATAGTCGAAGAAGGTTAGAAATAAATTACCTGTCTTCGGGAATTTGTGAGAATTCGGAAAACAGACGAAACGGTCGAGAGCCTCAAAGCTCGAGACCTTTGGAAGCGACACAACTCACGAACGGTTGCTTCTTTGAAATCGACGACGACGGTCAATCGCTGTGGAGGACGTCGGCGACGGCAGGACGCTGCTTGGTGCTCGCTGGAAAAGGGGTCGCAACGGGACGGCGACTGTGGCTCACGAACGGACGCCGGGAGTAGATGCTGCGACGGAGCACGGTGGTAATCGCCGGCAACAATGGCGAGGAGGCTTATTGGCGGAATATGCAGGTACAAAATCAATTTTTTAGTTGCGAGAGAATTGAGAGATTGAGAGTACTGATCGAGGTTCTCACCGGTTTAAGTAAAGGGTGAGGACGTTCGGATTGAAGGGGTGAAGGGACGATTATCGCGTGATCATGCCAGGAGAATCTCCCACAAAATCGCTACCTGAAATTGTGTGACGACCTGGTCGAAGAGGCGAGCAGATGAGGAGATAATTCGCTGTGCTGGAAGCTCGACATCTCATGGGCTAAAATAAATTATCTTCTAATTGGGCTAAGGTATAAACATCTCTATTTGGGCCAAAAATCAATAAGGAGATGGACTATGAAATTAATTACATTAGCTGGAAAAGAATGGCAAAAAAGCCGATGAATTAAGTCGCTTCGGGCCAAAATAAAATATACGTAATATAAGAATTCTCGAGATGCTCGATCTACGGCGAGTAATAAATTAATCCAGATTATCTTTATTTATAATACACATCATATTTTATAATACACATCATATTTTAAAATAATAATAATAATAGTAGTAAAAATATGCATTTAGACAAATAATGATATTTGACAAATAAATAATAGCAATTTGACAGTTAATGGCAACTATAATAATAATAATAATGATAATAATAATAATAATAAAGACAATTTAATAATAGCAATAATTAATAATTATTCTCCAATAATCCAAAATGAAACGGGGTATTACAGTGTGCATGCACGCCTGTCCTATGCCCCTGCGGACTAGGACGTCCGCGCTTCCGCCCCATTCGCTGCTGCCCGCGCATAGTCCGCGCTTGTGCCCCGTCCGCGGCGCGTCCCAACCGTCGCCTGTGCTCCGATCCTCCACGCACCCGCGTACGCCCGTGCACCTGCCAACCGCGCGCCCGCATATTCTTTGCAAATCCCACGTGTGCGGCTTGTTCGCCCATTCGTGTGCATCAAGGGCCGATGTGCACCTTTCGAATTTTAGCCCCTCACTAGACTTTTCGGTCCCGAACTCCACTTTCGTATTATTCTCCTCCTATTCTAGACTTTCCTTGTCCCCAAGGATAAGAAAATTCAGCACCTCCACATCACCATCACTGTCCTCTTCAATAGGTGAATCACCTTGATCCTCAGTCCTTAACTTGAATCGCTTTCCCGGTCGTCCAAACTCCATCTTTCCTCACTTATAATCGGTCATTATGAGTCCAAGTGTTTCCAACCATTGTACGCCCAATACTACATCAGTTGCCTTAAGCGGTAAAGCATAGAGATCGATTTCCAACTCCTGATCCTGAGCCATAATTGGAACCTTCTTGAATATTTGATTACCGTGAAGTTCGTGTCCATTGGCCACCTTAACCCCGAACTTCTTGACATTAGTGGGCTTCAGCTTCAGCCTCCTGGCTATTCCATCGTCGATAAAATTCAGACTCGACCCACTATCTATCAACAATTCCAACAGCATGTCCTTTATTCTGCAGTGAACCTGATCATCCTCGGTCCTCGTTTCTTTCACTTAACCATATGTACAAAAGCTTCTTCGTTTGGTTCTTCTTTCTCCTCAAACTTCAGCAGAAATACCTCCTTACCTTTTCACTTGTGGCCCGGTGTGAATTTTTCATTGCATGAATAGCAAAGGTCTTTTTCTCATCGTCGCTGCATCTCCTCGTCAGTAAGCCGCCGTATATTGCTCGTTGTACGCACAGCCTCGCCCATCGATTTGTTCTCGGTTCGCGCCGCTTGTTCCTCAGTCGCGGCGTGCGTGCACTTAGTATCCGTGCGCATGTCGCTCGGTCTCACTTTTCGTACGGCTACAAGATGATCCTCATGTAATCTAGCCAACTCCATGGCTGCTCGCATTGACCCTGGTCTATCCAACCTCAGCTCTGCTGCTAACTCCGCCTTTAGCCCTCCAACAAAGGTTCCTACTAGTGCACTCTCGGGCCAGTCCCACACCCTACTAGCAATGCGCTCAAACTCCTTTTGGTACTCTCGCAAGCTACCCACTTGCTTAATTTTAGACAAAGCCTCATAGTAATCGTGGTAGTCACTCGAGCCAAACCTCGTGATGAGCTCCCTTTCAAAATCCCTCCAACGCATGTGCTCACCACGGTTCTTGTGCAAAACCCATTGCTACCAT